ATGATTCAGAGGCTTATAAAATATCGTGTTCCTGATGTACACCCCAACCCCTCCGTGGGAGCCCACACTGCGGTTTTTATGAACAAAATTGTAACCTGGAATATCGAGGCAGGAATCTGAGATACGGTCATTTAGCCATGTTTCCGTTATACAGGCAAGGTCAGGACTCTTTTCTGTGACAAAATAACTCACTTCATCAATTTTGGGAGCTAATGACATCGTATTTGTCAATAATAGTTTCGGAACGTAGAAATAGTCATTAGCATTGGAAATAACAGTTTTATTAATGTTAATTTGAATAATATTATTTAAATTACGTTGTCCGCGATGAATTGAAGTAGGGCGACCTGATAGGGAAAAATCATGTTCTAGTAATAATACTGGAAAAACCTCATATTGGCTTTCCATTTGTCCTTGCGAAAACCCTCCCCAGTCTGGTTGATTCTAGCGCCATGTTTATTTCGTCGCCACGTCGATTTCTTTGATGGTGTTCTATGGGTAACGCGAGTCGGGATGGCATAACAGTTAGTTATGTCCGAAATTTCCGTATGTTTTGGGAATTGACTTACTTGACCAGCATGTTTTTGAGGCTCCTGCTTATCAACTTGTTTTGGTGGTATTCGAGGGTTAGGTGGTAATTCTTGAGATGTAATATATTTATTACTACAGGTATTCTCTTGAGTCGGAGGCGCGTGTTGATTTCTAATGCAATTAGTGCTGAGTGTCTCCAAAATAATGCAGGAATGATCATGACAAAGCCCATTGTCAGTTTCTTTACCCTTTTGTTGTAACTCGTGTAGGTTTAGTACCTGTTCGAGTTGTAAGATTTTTGTTTCGGCAACCGTTAGCTCAGATTCAAGTTGCTTGGTTTTATCTTGTTCATCATGCAGTTCCCTTTCAAGACGCTTTAATTGAGTATCATAACAAACATTGGAAAGGCACTCAGAACGCAAATTTGCCAGAGATTGTAATGCATCATTACGACTCATTACAATGTCATCATTTAGATTCGATCCTATTATGTTATTGTTTTCATCATGACGTTTTTGCAATCCGGAGGCGTTTTGGTTGTCCAAATTTGAATATTCGACAGCTTTAGGCGAATATTGAATCGTATGTTGGTTTTTCAACAACTGAAACTCTGCCCTAAATACATCAAACTGTTGGTTAATAATGTTTAATTTACCAACTACTTTATCAAGGCAATCTTCCACGTTTTTAATGCTATGTTTATTATCACGAATATCTTTCTCAGTAATTGTTACATCGAGTTTAACGCCCTCCAATTCAACAAGAATTTCATTGCTTGTGGAAGGGAATCCGCAATAGTTGTCGCTTTTGCTTGACTGTACAGGATCGAAATCATTACATAACATTGTACACAACTTAGCTGTTATGAGGTTCCTGTCTCTGCCATCTATTTCCAACACTTTCTTGGATTTGCGCCAGGATATTGAGCTATAACCATCACTGTATTTTTTTTTATCATTGCCTGGTGAAGTCCATTCGCCAACAAAATCAACATTCTTGCTTACAAAAAGCTTCAATTTCTCCAAATCACCCGTCCAGCAAAGCCGTAGTTCTTGCATTTCGATTACAATACTTGCCACAGAGTATTCCAGCAAATAACTCAAAAAAATTTAAGAATAATGTGGAGCGATATATTACACGTCTGATCGATATGCACGCAGAAGCAAGAAGGATAAGAATGTTACAAGGTTGACGACACAAGGTTGTAACAAGATTGTTTTATCATGACTGTATCGCACTCCTATGCAGGCCTTGTGGTGGTCGGTCACAGACATTGTCCGACCCATTCATGAAATTGTCTGACGTAAAGAGGAAACCACCGGACGTCCTATTTGATCAAAACCACCAGACATTCTGTCTGAGGTTTATTGTTTGTCCGACCAGAGTGTATTGGTGTCCGACCGAACTATAGCTTTGTCCAATGTGACCTAGTCCAGGATTAGAGTGGATTGATATACCGGATATATCTGGTATTTGTTTAGATACCGGTGTTGGTGATATAATTTGACAACTCAAAAATACCGACATACCGACATTTCAGTATTTTGCTGCATAATACCGATTTGAAACTTTGTTTCAAGTCAAATTTGCTTACAATCATGTTTAGAAACCAAAGTTAACACTCGCAGATGGACAATTTTGTTCTTACAGTTCTAGCAGCTTTGGTTTAGCAATACAAAGATGTCTTGTTTATTAAATAGCCTTAATCGGAAATATATAAATGGCAAAATTTTTGAAGGAAAATTTCAAGTTTTTAATATTAAAAAATATTTATCGGGCAGTAATAATTGCCGTTTAGCACCGTTAACATAGCTTGATAATGTGAATCTTGTGACATTTGCACTACTAACAGTATGTGTCACATTAATATTTTGTCAAAACTTGATTTTTCTCAATGTTCAGCAGTTCAGTTTGGCTTAAAAAGACATGTTAAAAATACCGGTATTCTGATGGCGGTATATTGGTATTCGGTATTTTGTGAAATCGATCCACTCTATCCAGGACTAGAGGCTCGTATGTTACATGGAGAATCAGAATAGTGTATAAAAAGTGAACTGAAAATATTGTTTTAATGTAATCGAGAGTGGGGCGGGGAGCGAAGTGGTGAAGTGGAAAACGGGCTTAAGTTGTTGAACTCTTGTTCGCAAATGTTAGAATAAAAAGATTGACTATGTCATAATGAAGTGTAATAGTACATTTTTCTTGTGTAGTTCAAATTTCTTCCTATGCTGTTCAATAAATAAACTTGATATTCTATCTCTGTGAAAACGACGAAGTTCCACTTAAGGCCATGTTTTTTTTTAAAAAATCAGGGTTCCGGCCCGAACTAACCAGCCGTAACTGAGTCCTGGCGCACCTCTAAAAGTGAACTGAAGGTCATCTGACATCATCATACATATAGTCATCGGTCATTTTATCGCACATTATCACATCAAAGTCATCGGACATTTTGTCAAATGGCCATGTAAAAGATATTTTAAGGCCTGTTTATGAGGTAATGTATCTCTCATTCTCTCACACCATAGCTGTTTGAAAATTATGAACATTTTTAGACCTCACCAAGAGCATTTGCAAAAGGTGCAACTGTGTACAGGGGCGTAGGAAGCACCTGGAGTTTGGGGGGGGCACCGGCTTGTAGGGGCACATTACTATCGGAAAGGCCACCTAAAAAATTTTTCCCGGAAATGTTGTCGACGGGGGGGGGGTGGGAAATTTCTCCTGAGGAAAATTTTCCGTCGTATCATACCGAAATTTATGTTTGTGACCTAATTTTTAAAAAAATTTGTAAATTTCCACACAAAAGCGGCACCTATTGTTTTAATTTAGTATTTACAGCGACATTAGCTTCTACAAAAGGGGCACTTTTCCTCACAAAAAAGGGCACTTTTCAACACAAAAAGGGCACTTTTTATCACAAAAAAGGGCACTTTTAGTCCTTTAAAAAAATTTGGGGGGGCACATGCCCCCGAAACCCCCCCGCTTCCTACGCCCCTGACTGTGTAGGCAGGAATCAAACCTGCAGTAAACCTTTCAACATTTAGTTGATTGGCTTGTTCCAGAAAAGATCCCCCCCCCCCCATCAGAGGAATTTTTTTGTTGTCTGGACGGAGAGGGGAGAAACATTTGTTTCTGATAATAGTAAGTGTATTAGGACATCCAGAAGGGGAGTGGGGTTAACTTAAAATTTCCTCCGTGGAGGAGGTGTATAATTAGACATTTTCTGGAATAACCCATTGAGTGAGATGCCGAAAAATCCTTGATATTTTCCTATTTGGAATGAACCCTTTCTCTGCACGGAGCATAGCTGCAAATAATAGGAAACATAGAAGCAAGAGGAAAGTAGACAATGTCTGGCCTATAGAGTACAGGGTGTGATAATTTTTAGTTGTACCTCACTGGTAACAGCAGAAAATTTGAAGCAAATGCACACACAGTCAGTCCAATCAAGAGTTCTGTTTGTCATGTCACAGGCAGCAAGTTGATGTAGTATGAATATTTTGTAGGTGATAGAACTACAGTTTGATCAACTACCTGAAGGAGAAGAAGTTTTGAGTATTCTGAAGCAAGAAAATGCACAGCTTAAAATATGGAATGTTTTGGCCGTAAGTTTTAAATTAAATGTTAACACAAGCAGCTAATAAGAGAAATCCACTCTGCCATGTGTGAGGTTAGAGTTAGACAAAAAAGCCCCTCATGCGTCTACCAATCTTTTAGCGAATGAAATCTCTGACCTAATCTTTTGAAGTTCCTTGTAGTTTTGTATGGCAAATAACAAAAATATCAGTTTTGGTTTGTGGAAACACTTAGTTTTGGAGCAATTCTTTTTTAATTTTCAAAGCTTGGAGCAATTTTTCAGAACCTGTTTGTTTCAAAATTGATATAACATTTAATGAATGTTTGTGCCATCTGTGCTGCCATAATTGATATAAAATATCATTCTCATTAGCATTTATAAAAAGCAAGAATACTGTAAAAAGAAAGAATACTGTAGAAAGCAAGAATACTGTTAAAAGTAATAATACTGTAAAAAGCAAGAATACTGTAAAAAGAAAGAATACTGTAGAAAGCAAGAATACTGTAAAAAGCAATAATACTGTAAAAAGCAAGAATACTGTAAAAAGAAAGAATACTGTAAAAAGAAAACCTAACCCACCCTACCTAAGTTTTTGCAAGGTACATAAAAGGTATTTTTTGCCTTGGTACCAGGACAACACCCGGATCAAACGTAAAGCGCATGTGCGAGTATACAGAAATGGCGGGGAAAATATCTGCCAAAGTGTAAATACGGGAAAAGAAAAGGGTTTACTATAAGGAAACGGCTGAAGCTATAAGGTCGGGAATTTTTCCTGGTGTCAAGACGATGTTATCCTGAGTTTAAACACTCGTAATTTTCTTTCAACGTTTTGCTAATATCTCTTCTGAATAGAAATGTTAGGTGAGTTTGTGTAAAATCGTGCCGAACTGATGCTACGTACATGAAAACGAGGCTCTTTAGCCTGAATGACGTACTTTCTGAATGTATATTTGATGGGGTTAATTATCCGACTGTGTTTATGACCCTGAGCTTATATATTACAGATGGACTAGTACATAGCATATGAATTAGACTGGAACGGTAAAATCACTCGTTCTCCCCCTTGCATGCTCATTGTTGTAAAACAAAATATTTATCAGAAGTGGTTTTGTGTTCTATTGTGTTGACGATAATTACTCTCCCATCATAATACAACATTGAAACGGGGGAGGGGGATTACATGTAAATTTTTGCAATATTTACAAATGTAGCCTTTTGATCTAAGTGTCCTACCTTTTCATGTCACTGATATTGTAGCCTTTTCATGTCTCTAAGTGTCCTACCTTTTCATGTCACTTGCGTTATCGCATCATGCTCATTAAAATGTGCATACCAATGACAAATGTTTAACGATCAAATATTTATTATTTAGTTATCAGCTTTATTGGACAAATATAGTAGAAACATTTACAAGTTTAAGTCCAAAGGGGATAGCGCAAACGGGACAACGAGACCCATGCTAGGCGCACCCCCTCCAAAAAAAGAAGGAAAAAAAAAACCCCCAACCTAATTCACTATATACAAATATATATTACATAACATGCATATTAAGAACGGTGGCAGGGGCAGTCTCTTGTGAGCGACCAAGTGCATGCCATATCAACATTAAAAGTACTGTTGACCAATGCGGTTTATGTCACATGCAGAAAGCTTTTAAAAATTGTTAAACTGGCAAACTTTTCAGGAGAGGCTATTTTTCCAACATTATTCCAAGTTTTAACTATTCGGTTAAAGAACGATCCTTGGAAAGTGGATGTTCTACAGTAAGGAGATTTTAACATTAGAGATGGATTCTGAGTACGAGTTCGATTATGATGTATAAATGACACAAAATATTCAATGTTCAAATCAGTGTGGCCGAAAATACATTTATAGACCAGAACAAGATCTCTGATTTCTCGATCGTAAGTTAGTGGCAATAAATTGAGAGTTTTCAGTCTATCTTCATAAGACATTTCTCCAACTTTACTTTTGAGGATCCAACGTGTAGCGCGCCTATTTTACTCGCTTCAATTCGTTAGGCCTAAATTACGTCCGACACGGAAAACGTCATCTTATTGTAAAATACTACCAACACTCAACACAGCTGAAATCTTTCTTTATAACTGGCATTTCCATCGCTAAAGCTCGTACTTGAAATCATTCATGTTGTTTAGATTCAATATTTCAAAGAAGGGAGAACAAGAGATTTTGTTGAGTTGTTGGAAACTGCAAAGACAGGTACGTCTATACATGACAACTTTTCTGCTTCAGATTTCGTTCAAAAACGCGCAACAAAAGTTGCTGTATAAGTCAACGTTACTGCACATTTTGAAAAGCAAGACTCAACCAACACTCTAAAACTGCTTTATTTGAACTGGGTAGACTCGGTAAATATCAAGATTTTGTTGTTGATGGAAATTATCGAGTGAAAATTTATAAACATTTATTACACCTAACCAGAAACAGCTGCGAGAAATGCAACTTTGGGTCCCTGACAGGAATCTAACCTGCGGCCCTGCGATTTGAAAACTAAGTGCTAAGATTAGAAAACTAAAAAAGACTCATTTCCCAACTGTAATAGTATGCTCACACGTGCCACTTGATTTTTCTCCAGAGGGAAACATCAATTATACGAAGAGCGATAGAGACAGGATGATCTGCTTGGATACTCTAGCTGCGTATTATGTTCAAGAAGCGAAAAAAGAGAAAAATAAAGAAACAAAGAAAGAAATGTTTACGAAGGTAGAAATGACGTCATCATCTTGGTTATTTTTCTTGTTTCAGGAAACGACCTCGTTCTTATTCAACTGAATTCAGTTTTTAAACTCATATTTCAGGAAACGACCTCGTTCTTATTCAACTGAATTCAGTTTTTAATCTCATATTTCAGGAAACGACCTCGTTCTTATTCAACTGAATTCAGTTTTTAAACTCATATTTCAGGAGAATAAAAATGAAGTTGTTTAATTAATGTATAAACAGGGAAATAACTGAAAGACAGAGAAAGTAAGACTGTGTGAATTTCTTAACTCAAGAATAAATTCTCTTTTTACACAAGCAGCTTACCCACGACGTTTTCCTCGACGCTTTCGTCATTATTTTAAATCCAAGCAATAGCGTCCTTTACCGGTATTAATAACCTTAAGAATTGAAGCGATTTTATTGGTCGAGAGCCATGATCTATTATAGAGGACCGACGCACCGAATTACGTCACACAAACTTGGTTTTGTGCAGACAATCACAATTCACAATTAAAATTTTAGCCTAGTGAAATTCTAGGTCTAATATATCTATGATTTATCCTAACCCACCCTGTCAACGTTCCCTGTGGGAGGAAACCAGAGCACTCGGAGAAAACTCACGACTTTTGACAGAGTGTTGACTGACTCTTTTCACATGAATCGAACCCACGAACTCAGAGGTGAAACTGAGGCGCTTGCTCTGACAACTGCTGCGAAGATGATAAAATTGTAGGGTGGGATTCTTACATATTTTGTTCTATATATAATTAACATTTAGCTCTTTGTGTGTATACGCCCTTCGTGGAAACCAGTTGTAAATAATTGTCGAAGTTAGCGTATTGAAATTAAGTTTTACATACAAGTTTTACATACATTTTTACATGTATGTAATATGTGTGTGCGTGCGTGCGTGCGTGCGTGCGTGCGTGCGTGCGTGCGTGCGTGTGTTTGTTCGTTTTGTGATCATTTTGTATTGAATCATCTTGCAGGCAACACAACTTTTTACAATGGCTGACAAGATCATTATGTATGATCAGGTAAATATATCCACTCTTTTCTCTCATTATTGTTTCAAAGCTACATTTATATTGACTAACGTCTCGAAACGTCGAAGTTCTCCTTGTATTTTCAGCTAGTTGTATCCCTATCGATCCCCACCTCTCTCCTTTGCAATGTCCCATTCTGTTGGGAATAACCTTAGTTTGCTTAAATATTATTCAAACATCTTATATATAGAACCATCTTCTGGGTCGTGCGTATTTTTGTTTGTTGGAAGGAGACAAAATTGATCAAGCTGATGCGCAGTTTAACTTTGTTCTTGCTCAGGTAAGATCATATTTGGGTCTCTGGATCATGTGAGACCTCCCTAATCCGAAGTTTTCTTTCACCCATCATGAAAATCCTTAAATGTCTGCATTTTTCTCTTTCAGTCTGGAAACAACATTCCTGCATTGTTGGGTAAGTCCACATACGGTGTTTGTAGGCAGTGGCGAAGCCAGCCCGACAATTTGGTCATGCTATGCAAATATTTCTGTGTTCATAGACCGTGAAAACAATCAATTTCGAAAGAAATGATAATGATTTAAAATTTGCATAGCATGACCAAATTGTCGGGCTGGCTTCGCCACTGTTTGTATAGGTAGACACTATAACAGACGGCTGCGGCTACTAACACTTAAAAAATTTAATTTCCATTACTGGGTTTTTAAAGATTTACCATGTACTGTACACTACCAATGTAAAAACTCAAAACTTACCATTGTTGGTTATTACAGATTTTCCATATGGTAAATTGGTAAACAACCATGATGTCTAATATTTATCATTAATGGTATTTTCCTGGAAATCTATAATTACCAATAATGGCAAGAGTTGAGTTTTTACCATAGAAATAATAGATATAGAATGCGTACTTCTATCTTTTCTCAGTGAAAAATTTGTTTCCACAAAATGGCGGATTTATAAGGGCATTTTGGTTGGTCCCAGACCCCTGAGGCGGGGAATTTCGCGCGGTTGCAGAGAGTGCGAATTGTTTTTTCAACTGCAAAGTTTGCAAAAAATTTTATATCGAGACTTAAAATGGAAAAAAAGTTTTACAAAGAAGAAAAAGTCGCTAAAAACCCATTTAGTGGGCTTTTTTACGAAAAGCAACAGTTATACAGAATATATACAGAAATCGTCGTTTAAAAATAAATTTTCAACACTGTTGTGCAAGCCAAAACAAAACCCGAAAGGTCAAGACAAACTCAAACTCAATAGGTATGTTCTACAAATATTTCAACTCTTTTATAATATAAATGAAGTTCAATAATCTTTTTAAACTCACACAATTACTTTTCATATTTTTCTACGTTGCTTGAGCTTGAGGCAACGCAGTTGAAACCATAGTTTTTAACGATTTATTAATATTTAGACAATTTTAATACAGGTTATCGACAACTAAACATTTTTGTTTCAAGAACATGTGAAACAGTTCGTTTACATTGAAGAAAAACGAAACCCGCCGACGAAGAAAGAACTATTATTTTGTAATCTTATAAAATATAGCAAAACCGTGAAGTAGTGACATTCAGAGCATGCAAAAATGTTTTATGAGTAAATTATATTTACGCGAAACTACTTTGTTTTTACAAGGCTGTACTATTGCTTTGACAGTTTGTGCCTTCAAAGAACTCAAAATCTATCCCCAAACTACAAATTAGACAACAAGACAAACGTTTTGACAAACGTATCTATTATTTCTATGGTTTTTACATTCAAGAATCCATTAATGGAAATTGTGGAATTTTTCGCTGTGTAACTTCCCAACGAAGGGTCTTCGTTCGAAACGTCAAAATTCTGTTTTTATTTTGAAGCAGTTGTGTCTTCTTCACACCGCAGCAGTCTAAGCATAGTTCATAGAAATAAGGTCTAAGTAAACTTACGGCGCCGACAGACGATCAAGCTGACGTGAATATCCGTTGTGTTTTTTAGGAAAAGCTTGTATTTCGTTCAACAAGAAAGATTATAAAGGGGCGTTAGCATATTACAAGAAAGCTCTGAGGACTAACCCTAACTGCCCAGGTAAAGTTTAGAAAAATGCATAGATGAGGCACAATTTTTGTTATAGTTTTTTTATTCTCCATGTTAGCACACAGTGAGCTCATTAAATTAAGAGTTTACAAATGACGGTTCTGACATCCGCGGACGTCACTGATGCATAGTTTAGCCACAGATTAGAAATACATAGTGTAGTGTAGTCCTAATCTGTGATTTTAGCCGTTAATTATTTCGTCAGCTGTTTTTGCTTGAAGTCAATTCTTGCTGTTTCACTTTCGTCATTTCCAGACAAGAGTGGCCATCCGTTCAAAAACATCGCTTGCTTGAGCTCTCTAATACCTGGAGTAAGAACTTTAGTCAATTGCCCAAAAGAAGGAAGTCAGGCACGTCCGTTTCACTTACTCTCTCGTTTTATCGTAATAAAAGAGAGCAAGCGACCTGTTTGATTCACAAACGACGACTGCAAGTCAATCGAGCGGTTATAGATATAGCAACAGTTAAAAAATACAGCAAATTGAAACTAATGTTCGCAGGAGTTCATGCTTAACATAACAGTAAAACATGTCCATGTTGAGACACAGTTTCATCACCAGGGACGTTCTCTCAGGAGGGCCATACCTTTTAGGGGGCGCCAAAAATGTGTGAAATGAAACCAAAATTGTCAATTGTACTTTTAAAATGTTGAAAATTTATAACCATGGGCGCCATATTTTTTGAGGTTGCCTCTCCTGACGAACGGGATCCAGAACGCCACTGTTCACCACTTTGGCTGACCCAAAAATGTTTCACCATGTGATCAAAGTGCCCAGTATTCTATATCGAGTTCCTGCGAGATGTTTAGTTGGATCGTACAATTTCTACACGGGGTATTGAAATTTTTTGCTAAATTTAGCTGCTGTTCGTCTTGGTATGGGTCATTGTTTTGCCAAGCTTGGTAAAGATGAGAAAGCTAAACTCGCCTTTGAACGAGCATTACAGCTGGATCCATATTGTACTGGAGCTATGGTTGGTCTCGCCATCATAGAGCTGAGTTCAAAAAAGGTAAAAAGAATAAAGTTGTGTAGAGTTGTATAAAAAGTTCAAGGTATAAAGTTCAGTTTCTCTTCATTTGTCGACTTTGGAGGGAGTGTGGTATTGCTGAAAGCTGCTTCGAGAGACCCTTGCAGATCAATTTTATTTGGATTGTGCAATGTGGTTTTAAAAATGCAGACAATAGAATAAGAATAATAAATATTATTATACATTTAATATGTATTCTCGTTTCTAATTGGTCAGAAAGCACCGGCTAATTTTCAGTATTCGGCATTTATTACGTATTTTCCGCCGATGACGTCATCAGCGTCCAATAATTGTTTTTTGGATCGAACTTGCATCCAAAAAAAAAATTATTGGACTCTCTCGTGCCCAAACCCTTGCGCGGCCAAAAGCTTGAACCTATAAGCGCGGGAAAAAAAACAAACAATGGCCGACAGCAGATTTGCTTCGCTGAATGAAAGTGAACTCTCCAAATTATTGGCAGATAAGGATAGTGAAAGCACGAAAAAAGCCACAAAGGGGTAAATAGAAGTAGAAATAGAATATTTAGCTGACCTTTGACTTTGTGCAAGGTGTTTGATATTCAAATTGTACTTTTCCTACCTCATGAACAGGAATCGTCCTATACGTTTCTCATGTCTTTAAATGTATAATAAAACAATTATTGGATTCTGCTTTCGCATGATATCAAGAATTATTCAGACCTCGGTCTATGTTATCCGCCTCAGCTTCGCTTCGGCAGATAACATTGACCTCGGTCTGAATAATTCTTGATATCATGCTCAGCCTCATCCAATAATTGCTTATTATTTAATGTCGAATGACACAGAGTGTGGTTGCCCAGTCACTCGAGCCACCAGGCTCGTGGTAGAAGTGCACGCATTTGACAGCCAAGTAAATCAGATTGATGAATCTGGTTTCTAAATTCAGATAACGAGGTTGATGACTTGGCAGAAAGTGGTAACTGATTCCAAATATGGGAAATAATATACTTCTTGGAGTTATGCAAATAATAAGCAATTATTGGATGAGGCTGAGCATGATATCAAGAATTATTCAGACCGAGGTCAATGTTATCTGCCGAAGCGAAGCTGAGGCGGATAACATAGACCGAGGTCTGAATAATTCTTGATATCGTGCGAAAGCCGAATCCAATAATTGTTTTATTATACATTTAAAGACATGAGAAACGTATAAGACGATTCCTGTTCATGAGGTAGGAAAAGTACAATTTCAATATCAAACACCTTGCACAAAGTCAAAGGTCAGCTAAATATTCTATTTCTACTTCTATTTACCCCTTTGCGGCTTTTTTTCGTGCTTTCACTATCCTTATCTGCCAATAATTTGGAGAATTCACTTTCATTCAGCGAAGCAAATCTGCTGTCGGCCATTGTTTGTTTTTTTCCCCGCGCTTATAGGTTCAAGCTTTTGGCCGCGCAAGGGTTTGGGCACGAGAGAGTCCAATAATTTTTTTTTTGGATGCAAGTTCGATCCAGAAAAACAATTATTGGACGCTGATGACGTCATCGGCGGAAAATACGTAATAAATGCCGAATACTGAAAATTAGCCGGTGCTTTCTGACCAATTAGAAACGAGAATACATATTAAATGTATAATAACGACTGTTATACATATCCTGTACCACATTATGACCACCACCTCTTAAAGGGGCAATGTCACCGATTTTTTACCTAAAATGCCATTTATTCAAAAACTGAACTACAAAGTTAAAAATAAACATTGTAAATGGATTAAGTTATTATTTTGTGTGTGTTGGTATTAAGTTATGATATATGAGTCATATTAAACAACTTTGAACTTCCACGCAACATGTAACATGACATTTTCATAAAAATTGACTAAAACTTGAAAATGTGTCTGCCAACAATTAATCAAGATGCAATTTACAATCCATCTTAATCCTGATGTAATCTTGCCCATCCAGACTTCTGTACATGTGACTTGTGTCTGTTATCGCTTTATTTTGTGCTTACACTTACACTTAGAATTGCTCAAAACTCGGTGACATTGCCCCTTTAAAGCATATGGAGTATTAAGAAGTTTAAAAAAATTAGAAGTATAGGCAGGGTCATTTTGTTTGAAACTTTTATAGAATATCATTAGTGACTGCTCAGCTCTCCTGTGTTCAAGCGAGAGACAAAGTAGTACTGTACAATACAGAGCTGGACAAAGTATCGGAACCAAGGAGTTCCCAGAGTTCTACATTTTTGCAGAAATTTTCACACACACTTTTATGTTTGATAGCTAATTCTGAAAATTATACTAATTGAATAGCTAAATTACCAAATACCTAATTATTGAAATGATTGAATACATAATTATCTCAGTACTAACACGTGCCCTTGCTACACGGGGACAGGGGCTAACTTAACATTGAACATTTTCTAGCCCGATGCGATTAAAACTGGTGTTCAGTTGCTTTCTAAAGCATATTCAATTGACAACTCAAATCCGATGGTTTTAAATCATTTATCAAACCATTTCTTCTTCAAAAAGGTAAGTGCTAACATTGTCCAAGTATTATACTGTACAAGGTGTATTTAAAGCGAATTCCTCTTTAAAAAAGTGTATTACTTTTCAGTGTGTCCACACACTGTAATACTAGTATATCGATCTTATACAAACTCAGCATCGCCACCAAAAGCTCTCTTCGTTGTTTTGGACGAACTGATGTAAAATGACATGGATTGTAGAGTAACCATGTATAAGACTAACGCCCGTATTCTAAAACAATCTCTCTAAAACAAATTCTCAATCTGAGCTTTTCTTGAGTGTCATAGCTGTTTTTGAATAGCTGGGGGGTGAGTAGTCACATAGAGAAGCTCAGATTCAACCTCCACTCATTGAGTGTGAGTGTGAGTGAGCTTTTAGAATACCGACGTAAGTAACGATGAAAAAACCAAGTCTCTATAGTGTTGGTAGAATGACGAAACCGACTACTTTAAGGCTTAGCATTGGAAAATAGCGATATGATTTCATTGATAAATTTGGAGAATCTTTGGTAAAGAGCATAGCTTTGCAGGAAATACCACTCCGTGAGGTACAATGATTTTCAGTATTTCATCATATATTTCTTCAGGATTACACGAAGGTTCAACATTTAGCATTACATGCTTTCCATGGAACTGAAGTTGAAGCTATGCAAGCAGAAAGTTGTTATCAAATGGCAAGAGCTTTTCACGTACAGGTACATAATATGAAAACTACCTTTATGTAACATGCATGCAACCCGAGGTTTGGGAAAAGATTTGTTTTATATTATGTATGTTGTTGCTGCAGTATCAAGTGTTCAACGAGACGTTTATCATTTAGCTACAATAGACAACATTGGCTTACATGATAATTCATCCTCCCAGTAAGTACTTAGCCTTGACTATAGAGCTTCGTTTTCGTGAAATCTGCTTTAGAGCCCTTTATCTTATTACTGCATGCGACCTAATCATATCAAGATCTTATATAACTGCATGATTTCGTAAATGTGTTACCTGTAACAAAACGAAGGCCTCTAAAGTCTGGTGATTGCTAATGATTAAACTCGCAGCCAAAAGTATGGAATCGTTTTCGACCTATACAATTCTAAGTTTTTTGCATGTCACTCATTCAGTCACATCCGCCAGGAGGAGATTTGCTAGTGTGAACCAGGCTTTAACACAATATCTCAATCATGAGAACGAAGCTCTATTGTCAAGGCTGAGTAGTTTCCGGAAGGGTGTATCCAATTCAGACCACGTGTCATAACAGATTCCTTGCTATGAACAAAGAGTTAGTTATAACACGTGGTTTGAATTGGCCAATTTACATCTAATTATCATGCAAGCGAACGTTTTCTATAGCAGGAAACGGTGAAACATGTCTGCGCAACACACGTTCAATATATCTCGTCTGAATTTTATATAAGAAAGCTTGAGATTGATAACGATACAAATACCTGACAAATACAAGGAGAAATTATTTTTCAGGTAGTTGCATCCCTATCAATCCGTAACTTGTTTATTATTGCCACTACCTAGCACATACATATACTGACGCATGCAGACCTTTTGAATTTTATATACCCTGCGCCAATAGTAATAGTGGTAAATTTATTTAGTGTTGATTACACACGGTGTAGTTGCACAGTTCACCAGAGCCATAGGCTTGACAACTGAGGTCTGAGTGTTTGGTGAGGGAGAAAAACCCTTGAAGCACATGAGAGAATCAACCACAACTCTACTTACATAAGTTTTCACAGGGAAGTTACCCAACACTCAGCGGTATAGAACTAACTGTGCTTCAATAAAGTTTGTTTTCGTTGTTTTTCATTGGACGAAAGATCACGTGAGATCACGTCACATCATTGCACAAATGTTTCAAAGCTCAGGCTCAGTAATAAGAACTATAAAGTCTGTAATTGTGCTGAGATGCTTACACGACTTGTTTGTTTCTAGAATGATTACGACCAAGCATTCCAGTATTACTATCAGGCCACTCAATTCGCTTCTCCTGGTTTTATTTTACCATACTTTGGATTGGGACAGATGTACATTGCTCGTGGGGACACTAACAACGTAAGTAGAACCAAAAACGAATTTAAACCAGAGATATTGGGTTTCCGGCTGAGACATACTCCATGGTTAGAGTTGTAGAACTTCAAAAAACCCGTTAGGTATGTATATATGACGAAGCTAGGGCACGATAACTTAAAACGTCAGAATTATACTTTGATACAATTTTTATTGTTAGGTTCCAATGTAGGCAGCAATAGACAATATATGGTTTACACTACCTGAAAATATAACAAAAACGTCTTTCAATGTTTCAAGGTCCTAACTTCGCCATTGCTCAAAACGTCGAAGATTTCGTTAATATTTCCAGCCAGGTAGTTCAATCCTGTCATCCTCAAGCAATTATACTTTGTAGAAGGCTTTTGTAAATGGAAATTTTGAGCGCTGCACTGGAATCACTGGTTCGATGCAGTTGTATTTTTCGCAACAGTTTCTGGTTAGGTCTTAAATTATGTGTATTTATACGCTTGCTTGCGATATCCAATTATACTTTGCTTATATTTTAAGGCTTAAAAGTATCGACACCCAACGAATTCCTTATAAATGGGGACGTAATGTTCATTCTTTTCATTAGATGTAATATTCCTGTATTTGGTCAATAGAATTGAGATATGTAGTTTAATATCTTGCTTCTAAAAGTGTTCCTACGTTGACTACGATGTGCTTGTTTGTAACGTCTCTTCCTAAATAATGCGGTTGTAGGAGACTAGCCAAGCTCACATTTTCTGTTATTAGGCGGCTGTATGTTTTGAGAAAGTTTTGAAAGCAATGCCAGGAAATTATGAAACGATGAAAATCTTGGGATCCCTGTACAGTAATTCCGAGGATATGGAGAAGAAAGAAACAGCCAAGGTATTGTCTTATATTTTATTGCTACTGTATTTTGACACATTGTAGCACAGGTGTTACAGTAGATGTGGTTAGTGGTGTTGCCCTTTACCTTGGAGCTCAATCTGTTGTAATTGCAGGTTGGGGTTGGGTAACTACTCTATGCTTGAAAACCTTGTGTAAGTAAAGGCGTTGTTACACTAAGCAACTTATCTTGGAACTTGTCTCGCAATGTTAAGAAAAGCAGAGTTTCAGCATTGCACTGCAAGGGATGTTATACACCAAACAATATGTTCCATGCAACTTGCAATGATCATTATTAAAAATAGTATAAAAACCGCGAGTGCTAAATTTTGGCGCCAGATGGACAGTCCAAAGCCAATAGGAAGCCATTCAGTGTATAAAGATTGCGAGACTAGTTGCAAGAGGGATGAGGGATCTAAAAATGCGTTGCAACGTTACCGCGGTCGTTGCGAAAAGTAGAACCTGATTCTACTTTGTGCAATGCTTGTTGCAACAAAAATGTTGCGAGACTTGATGATTGCGAGATATGTTACACCTTGCAATTTTGCGTGTAACTTATGACAAGTTGCATAGTGTTACAGCACCACCTTAAAACAAAGTTGGTTCTCTCATTTGCTTCAAGAGGTTACCTCCTGGTCCTTGCAGTCCTCCAACCGAAACTGAAAGCCGGCAGTGAAACAGTCAGAAACGTTTCTGAAATTAATAAACATCAAACCTTGATGTAACATGAAATCCCCAGTTTCATTGTGTTGAGGTCTTGAGGGCGGGGGGGGTGTGCTTAATATAGAGTGTGGGCTTAATTTTTTCCTGTATAAAGCTAGGCTAATTAGAGAGGGAGAGCGTTATTTGAGAAGAGGATATACGGTAATTATCTTAAATGTAGCGAAGATTTTCGTGCTTGGTTGTAAACTACCTCCATAGTTACCTCCTACATCCAAGCCCTTTCAATGATAATCACCGTCCCCTTGTGTTAAATCCTACAGAGTCATTTAAAGAAGGTAACAGAACAATATCCAGATGACGTCGAAGCTTGGATAGAGTTGGCAGGTATCTTAGAACAAACAGATGTCCAAGCAGCGTTGTCAGCTTACGGCACGGCCTCGAGATTACTCAAGGAGAAAGTTGGAGCTGATGTCCCACCAGAAATATTGAATAACGTTGGAGCTTTACATTCTAGATTAGGAAATCTTAATGAAGCGAAGGTAAGGCTGCGTCGTCTTCAATGCAACATGGTTCATGTATTAAATAAACTTCATTCGCATCATAAGAACTTTAGAAGAAGAGGAACCAAATAAAACTAACTTTATTATACTGAGTAGGTCTGTCAGTTCTAAACTGTTATTTCTAGTCTACTGTAGGTGCCCAGTCAATGGATCATCGTTTATTGATCCAGTGTTACTACACAGACCTAAACTCATTTGTTATATTCTGGATAGCTGAATTAGTTCTAAACTGATCTTTTTAGAGGTGGAGTATTGATCCACAGATCCAGTGTTATGCTGGGTAGCTCTATCAATTCTAAACTGTTCTCTCTAGAGGCATTGATTCAGTGTTCAAAACAATATGGCGGATTACTTATTTTAAGTTAAATCTTAAATTAATTTAGTTTAGTTTAGTTTAGTTTAGTTTAGTTTAGAACGCCAATTTTTATTTGACAATACAGTAGTAGGATTCTAATGTTTTAACTAAGGTTTTAGATTTTTGTAACAATGAGACTGTGTTGAAAGAGAAATATAGACATTGATTTCGTCCAAAAGCACAAATTTATTAAAAACTCTTTCCTTGCTTCAACTAAGAGACTTTCATATACTACAAGAGAAAACCGCAGTACTTGGAGAAAACGCGCTTGATCTGGTTCAAACTGGAAGTGCCCCTCTCATTTGTGCCTGAGGTGAAATGAGAAAACTGCATAAAGTAGGAATGGAGCTCCAGTTATAGCGATGAATACACACGCACTCCACACCAACACTTTGGAAGATTTTTGCCGTATATAAAACGAAGATATTCAATGTTTTTGTTTAATAATATTTAGAAATTTTATGAAGCGTCGTTAAACCGTGCTCAAACAGAAGGGGAACATGACGAGAGCTATTACAACGCAATCTCAGTAACAACCAACTACAATCTGGCGAGATTATATGAAGCAACGTCTGAATTTGATCTGGCTGATAAACTCTATAAAAATATCCTCAGAGAACATCCTAATTATGTTGACTGTAAGTTTCTTTATAATAATACGACGGATTCTCCTGTTGCTCCAACGAATAAGGAGTGTCGGCAAGATATTATAAATACAAGAATACGAGTGAATGGTTTATATACAATTTTCAGACCTGACCTTTAAATCTTTCACTAGAAATTCCATCTATCAAAAACCCAATCAACAATTAGTTCGATCGAACAAGATGGCCAAAATCTTGATATTTGCCTAATAACAATATATTTGATTGATAGGAATATGTAACTACCTGAAAAATACAAGGAGATCTTGGACGTTTCGAGCGAAGGCCATTCGTTGGAAGTTTAATAGCGTTCCCGATGAAGGGCCTTCGCTTGAACGATGGCACAGTTTCGACTTTTTCTTATTAAAGAATACATCGCGTCCCAAGTTTGGGTGTGCCCTAACTGTGTTAAACGTTGATCATATTCCTAGTTTTGAACTACCTAATAGTGTGCAATGCATGGTACTGGAGTTTACTCCGTTATATAATGTTCCTTTTCAGGCTATCTACGTCTTGGTTGTATGGCTCGAGATCGTGGTCAGATTTACGAAGCTTCAGATTGGTACAAAGAAGCACTACAGATTAACCAGGTAAGGCAATAGCTACGGTTTGTAGTAGAAAAAGCTGGTAGAAACAGTTGTTATGTGACGTCTGTTTGAATGTAATCTGTGGTTAATGCATTGACTTGAAAAATGAGTGCCAGTGGTTATTTTTCATTTTAAATTAAATAAACGTTTTATTAAAATATTTTGATCACAATAGTGATGACCATGTTATATATTCCATATTGTAAAGTTTTTTAATTCCAGGATCATCCGGACGCGTGGTCATTGATCGGTAATCTTCATCTTGCGAAACAAGAATGGGGACCAGGGCAGAAGAAATTTGAAAGAATATTAAAACAACCATCAACAGCAAATGACTCTTATTCATTACTTGCTCTTGGTAATGTTTGGTTACAAACGCTACATCAACCTACTAAAGATAAATCGAAAGAGAAACGACATCAAGACAGAGCACTCGCGTTGTACAAACAAGTTTTAAGACAAGATTCAAGAAATCTCTATGCTGCCAATGGTATAGGTATGTTAGACTGACGTATGATCATGGAAAAACCTCGATAACGAAAACAAATACATTGCAGTCGGCAAAGCAACTTTTGTATAAACAAATATTGTTGTTTACAATAGCATCAAAACATAGCGTGTCGAAGAATAATGATGAAGTAAATAAACAGCTTTCGACTGTGGATTTCATTAAAATGAGATATAGCAACCGTATTATAGCCTGCTTGCTTTTCCCTCTTCTTAAACGAATTTATAAGTTAAAGTTTCTTTCCAGGTTGTATTTTAGCTCACAAAGGATTTCAACGAGAAGCACGAGATATATTCTCTCAGGTAAGACGCGCTCTCGTTCATACTTCGTAACTAAACCACCATTATTCATTCTTCTCCTACAAATCGTGCGTTGTGATTGGCGACGTTACTAGAGGGCTATTGAGTGATAATCAATGTCTGAATCTCAAATCTCTTACAAAATAGTTTTAGTTTTGGAACACATATACAAATAATCTTAGAAACTGCTTGCAAAAAAGTAAAATGTTGAAGTACTATTTAAAACCCGAGCAGAAGTATATAATGATAAATCGCGGACTGCGAGTGTTTTAAATAGTACTTAAAAAACGACCTATATAAAGAGTTCATTAGCGAAGTAATTTTAAAAATAAACGTTGTCTAAGCCGAGAAAATCAAAGTTAAAGTTTAAATGATTTTTTATCATGATTTTTTATCACATATAAAACCACCAACACGGCAGTGATTTCCTTTCCTCATTAATTATTAATGAGTTTTTACGTTTTATTACAGTTTGAACATGAAAGTGACATGCGAATTTATAAAAATGGATTTTATTCAACTGTATTTTCTTGGCCTTTTAGGCATTTTCTTGCTTTAAATATTATTTCATATAGTTATCTTTCGTTTAAGTTTTTCCGCCATATACATTACAGTTTCAAAATATCATGTATTGGTCCGGTATTATTCAGTATTACTACAAGAAGACTTTCACTGGAAGCGACAGAATAGAACAAGTGTTTAAGTACTAGATAAAACATGAGCAGCCGATCTGTATCTGATATACAAACTCGAGCCGAAGGCGAGAGTTTGTATATCAGATATAGATCGGATGCGAATGTTTTATCGTACTTAAAAAACGACCCATCTTATGAGTACATTGGCGAAGTAATTTTAAAAATAAACATTGTCTAAGCCGAGAAAATCAAAGCTGAAGTTTATGTAAATCAGGACAAATCTTTATCCGATTTACAATCATTGATAAATTAATCATTAATGTTTATTACATGAATTAAACCTCGCACTAAGCACTATGTCACCTACATACACCCAGTAGTCGATATAAATGACCGGGAGATCCCATGTATAACCTTTTCCCAATTGATGTAGGTTCGAGAAGCGACAGCAGACGTTGCCGACGTTTGGTTAAATCTTGCTCACAGCTATGTGGAACAGAAACAATATGTTGCTGCTATACAGATGGTAATATCGCATTGTGTTTGTCAGGAGAAGGAAGGGTGGGGGGGAGTAAGAAATTAATACAAGTGAACTCTATATATATCTGGAGTGAGAACTCGAGTCCAAAAAGTAAAGCTATGATGGAGCTATTCCAGTCCCTTTTGTATTGTTTTTTTTGTCTGCGCGGTTAGGTGAACTGATAACTTGTTCAGCGATACGATCCGTTACAAAAAACTGGAATTAGCTGGGGGGAAAATTGTATTAATAAAAGCTGTTTACGACCTTCAGAGCTATTGGACGTCAATGGCCGCCATCTTGGCTTCAATTTTCTCAAAGGCCGAATGACTCAAGTTCTTACTCCAGATATATATAGATCTCACTGAGGAATGCACGGAGCGTAGGAAGGAGCGAGGGAAGAAAGAAATTTATGCATAAATAATTTTTTCCCAATAACTAAATTTATATTTGCTGAAACGATCAACCGGGAAATTAGTTAAATTATTGCATGTTTTCGCTTGCAACTATTGTATTAAACTGTGTCCACAAGGATGTGTCCATGGTCAAAACGAAATATATATTTGAACTATTCGAGAGAGACTTGAAGCAAGTCTAGAAGTAAGGAACAAAAACAAGGAAGAAAATTAGGAAGGAAAGAATGCAGGGAGGGGAAACGAAATAAAAAAAATATAATATGATATAGAAAAATGCGCCCAGATGAAGCAGAAAGCAGGGAGGGAAGACTAAATGAAGGAGAAATAATCGTGTGGAATGTAGCAACGGAGTGAAAGATAGATTTATTTTATTTTCGAAAACGAAAAGTATTTTCGCTTGTATCGCTGATAATATGTCACATGTTATAGCTTTAATTACTAATAATCTATTCTTCGTTTTTATACAATGTTTTTTCTGATTGCCTTCTTCTGGTCTCTCAATGTTTCTTAGTACGAAAATTGTCTAAAGAAGTTCTTTCGTCATCACAATGTTGAAGTGTTATTGTACTTGGCAAGAGCGTATTATTTAAGTGGGAAACTCAAGGAATGTCGTCATATTCTGATTAAGGTGATATATTGCTTCTTTATTGCGTATTTTCCTGTACTTCTATAACCGATGTTATTTGGTTATGACCACAAAGCTTTGTTAAAACTGTATGTATCAGTGCAGTATTTTCGTTGATACTTGAGAAAGATAATTTGTCAAGACACATCCACGAATTATCCCGACGAAGCTCGAACTGACAAGCTTGCCGTATTTATAAACACAGATGAACTAGATGATCTACGCCAATAAGTTGTCAGGCTGATCTGTGTTGTTGATGGAAAATATTGAGTGGCAGGGACATAAAGTTTCAGCTGCTCAATAGGTCTAATAAAATGTATATAGATTTCCACTCGATAATTTCCATCTACAATACCCTTCAACTATTAAATCGAGTGAGATGCCAACAAAATCTTGATATTTACCCAAGTTGATCTGTCTGTTTGCGGCGTTTATACACAGATGAATTAGCGGACGAATTATCTTTTCGTTGCCCGAGTTCATCCACTCGGATCGACGAAGGCCATCACTCGAAACGTCGAAGTTCTGCTTGTATTTTTGAGGTAGTTGCATCAATCTGAAGCTTTATTGACATTAGACAGATTTAGATCGAAGACGCGGACGTCAAAGACGACGTGAAAATGGCGTCAAAATGGCGTGGCATATCCATACACGGGCACAACACGCCATTTCACGTCGTTATTGAAGTCCGCGTCCTCGATCTAAATCTGTCTATTACCTACACAGACCGTTCATGATTAGAACACGGATCCACTGTCTCTACAAGTGGATGGACCAGCTTTGATCTTTTTCATATTTTCCGCATCATTATTAAATTTGTACTTCTTCTTTTTAAGGCTCGCCATATTGCACCAAACGACACAATACTTTTATTCAATGCTTCACTTGTACAACAGAAATTGGCCACGGTAATTCTCAAAGCTGAGAAAAGTCCACTTAAGGTGGTGTTATCTGCTGTTGGAGAACTGGAAAACGCACAGAGGTGTGGTTAAAACTAAATTAGAAATCGTTTGATGACAAAACTTCAAGGGGTCTATCAACAAGTAGGAATAGGTATCACTTGAAGAAAGTTTCCAATAATACCCTACATGTCCTCCAACCCTGGGGGCAACCACCGCCTAATAATTTGTGAAAGCATGTGAATGATAGCTGAATAACTGTGTAGCAAAGCTTTAACAATGATCTTGAACCATGAAACCTTGGTAAACTGGAAATAAAGGCAAAATGAAAGAACTGAGATTTCCAGCTACAAAAGGTGGTCATATGTTGGTGACGTGGTCATATATTCCGCGAAATGTTCGCGTTATATACTGTATAAAGATAAAGGGCAGAGCCCAGCAAATAACTTTAAATCCAAACATAATAAAAGTAAAAAAAAATATTAGCTAACGTTTCGTTGTTTACAATACTACATCTTCAGAGCAATCTAAATGAATTTACAGGGTATGGTATATACATTTACAAAATAATGGTTTAATCTTACAAAAACGGTTACATAGTTTGAAAGAACAAATGAATAGAAAGAGAGGAAAACAACTTATCAGTAACTAGTTAATAAGTAAAGATTAATGTTAAGTGCATGGTTAGTATAGTTAAGGTTAATATTACATAACTAAAATAACTCAAGAGGGGTAGATCTAATATTAGCATTAAGGACAGGGTTAAGTTGAGATATTAATAGGCTTTCACGGATAAGAAGATCCCACTCAGAAGTGCCTGATGATAGGATTTTGAAATCAGAAGCTGAGACTGGGTGTTTGTGCATGTGTTTGTGAGCGAGTATACTAGACATGGTTGAGATAGAGCGTTCTTTTCCAGCCAAAGGCGTGCTCTCAATTGGTGAATTGCCACAGTTATATACTGTATGTTTATATTTCTTTTCGTTCGTGGTATATAAATACCATTAATAACATCGAATGTCGTCCGTACAATTATAAGCCCCCCCCCCAAAAAAAAAAAATATGCTCACGAACGAATATAAGCCCAGGGCGTATATTCGGATGTTTACGGTATACGAACACGGGAGTAGCGGTTATACAAAATTTTCCCAAGACTTTTGAAACTGATTGCTTTTCATTTCCCCCAGAAATTTCCAGTGGCTGAGTCACCATGGTGATCGCATGAAATATGACCTTGCTTGGGCTCAAAGCGAGGCTAGACAATGCCAAGATTTATTAAGTCAAGCTCAATATCACGTGACCAGAGCAAGGAAGATTGATGAACAAGAACAAGAAATGAGAAGAAAACAAGAAGAAGAGAAAGAATCAATACGCAAGAAGAAAGAGGAGGAAGAGGTATTGTATTCTAGGATATCGCAAATAACGCTCAGTGATAGCTGATTTTAGGGGGAAAGACAAAAATGATCATGTTTTGTAATTGACTTTCAGAAACAAATCAGAAACAGAAACGATCATTAGCCCTATTCACATTAGAGACGGACAAGTCGTCTAGACGAACAAATCGTCTCTCAAAAATCGTCTTCACAGACGGACAAGTAGTCGAACAAATTCAGACGACTTGTTCGTTTAAAATTTTGTACGACACGTTTTCACATCTGATGATTTGTACGACTAAAAGACGATTTTGAGACGATTTGTTCGTCTAGACGACTTGTCCGTCTTCTAATGTGAAAATGGCTATTGTTCGTGACTCGTTCTTTAGAAAGACGATCTTTATAGTTTTATTGTCTTTCATTGTTATAATCAACCAACCACGAGCCTGGATAGTATAAGTAGATGATGACCCGATTTTAGGACACTCACCTGGCCTTTTTTGTTGTCAGTGAGCATTTTAACTACATGTAAATATTCCTAGAGCGGCAGTGATGTTTTTTGCCAGTGAGAACACAGTATTGATATTTAATGTTCAGACGTACATATGAATTGAATTAGCGGGGTAATCTAATCTCTTTGCCAGCCAATGAGATATCGTGATTTACACGTGCTTGGAATTTCATTTTCACACTGGCAGCTTCACTTGACTAACTTCCAAAGCATAAAACACCGCGAATTATCGGCTACCAAAGTAATTAAGTTACAAGAAAATGTTACTGTTTGTCCTCGTGAACAGTTGTTGATGTTTCACCGAGAGGATTTTGTGCTTGACCGCTGTAATTTCCTGGGAGGGAGGGAGGAGGGGGGATATAAGGAATTTTAACCTAGGATATCAGGATATGGCTAGTGGAGGTTGTATCTGGTGGTTAACAAGAACATAAAGGACGATTTACACTACACAACTTTTGCCTACATCAACTGTCGCATGCAACCTGCTTACAACTCGAGTTGTACTGTGTGTTTTATATAGTACAACCTGCTTACAACTCGAGTTGTACTGTGTGTTTTATATAGTACAACCTGCTTACAACTCGAGTTGTACTGTGTGTTTTATATAGTACAACCTGCTTACAACTCGAGTTGTACTGTGTGTTTTATATAGTACAACCTGCTTACAACTCGAGTTGTACTGTGTGTTTTATATAGTGCAACCTGCTTACAACTCCAGTTGTACTGTGTGTTTTACATAGTACGACCTGCTTACAACTCGAGTTGTGTTGTGTGTTTTATATAGTACAACTTGCTTACTGGAGTTGTACTGTGTGTTTTATATAGTACAACCTGCTTACAACTCGAGTTGTACTGTTTGTTTTATATAGTACAACCTGCTTACAACTCGAGTTGTGTGCTTGATTTATGCGGTACAACTCGAGTTGTAAGCAGGTTGCATGCGACAGTTGCTGTAAGCAAAAGTTGTGTGGTGTAAATCGTCCTGAAGATGAGAAGGAAACGGGAGGGAAAATACTACGCCGGGAGAAAGAGAGTTGTTCAATAAACAGGATGATATTGAAATACTTGTTCCAAAATATGTCTTCCAAGACAAGTAACAATTTGTCCCATTAGATAAAACTCCCTGACCATCCTCGACAGCCCAAGCTGCGATGTAGTGAAGATTTCGCTCGAGACTACGAGTTGTTCTCTGTCTTAATTAATATCAAAGTATATTGCAGCAATAAATTTACGTGGTGTTTCCACAAACAAAAGTATTATATTGTACATTTCATATCCTGAGGGTGATTCTATGATACAATAACTTCAATGTTATGTTTATATGCCCGGCTAATTGGATATGAGTTAAAGAGCTGTGTGTGTTTTACATCAACTAAAATATGGTTTTGTGTTTGTGATGTTTAGCGTCTTAAAAAAGAAGAAAGTGAAAAACAACAGAAAGTGATGCTTGAAAAAAGAGCAAACTTCCGAGAAGCTACAAAGAACTTGTTGGTGTTTTCACAAGGGGATATGGAAATGAAGGAAAAGAAAGCGAAAAAGAAGGTAATAGCTCGTGAGTTTTGAGCTGTATCGGGTGAATACCACACCCTGGGCAATTGAAATTCTGTATCCAAATTTAGATAGTTTTTAATATTAATCACACCAAGTAAAACAATTATCCAATGCGGATTTGCATGACAAACTAGAAAATATGTACAGTGGTATGCAGTACAGCGTTGAAATGGTGCTACTTTATTTTCTCAACATTAGACCAGTTTGCAGAGATCGGATCAAATACAAAGTATCCAACTATCTTCAATAGAGCGTTTGCACATGACGTCACAGCCGCCATGTTGGTGTTCCAATTCAAAATAATTTTAATCAACCTCGTAATGGCGGCTCTCCACTTCTTGTGTGTCGAAATACAATATTAATAAACGCAATCAAACTTAATTTGTCTCCCATATAAATTTCCTACATTTACATGTAAGTTTTATTTCAGAGAGGAAGAGAAACTGGTGAAATTTACTCGAGTGGAAGTGGAAGCGAAGTTGAAGATCAAGAGAGGGCGAAGAAGGAACCGAAGAAAAGGTTTTTACTCATAACTCATTTGATTGGTGCAGGATTAGATTGTATTAGATTCTTAATACAATTAAGAATACGTTGGATTCTTGACGCATTGTGGTTAGAGTTCTTAATATGGAAATAGACAGTGCTGTTTGTTGTACTTTTGTCCATTATGGTTATTGTGGTTAGAGTTCTTAATATGGAAACAGACAGTGCTGTTTATTGCACTCTTGTCCATTATGGTTATTGTGGTTAGAGTTCTTAATATGGAAATAGACAGTGCTGTTTGTTGTACTTTTGTCCATTGTGGTTAGAGTTCTTAATATGGAAATAGACAGTGCTGTTTGTTGTACTTTTGTCCATTGTGGTTATTGTGGTTAGAGTTCTTAATATGGAAATAGACAGTGCTGTTTATTGTACTTTTGTCCATTGTGGTTAGAGTTCTTAATATGGAAATAGACAGTGTTGTTTGTTGTACTCTTGTCCATTGTGGTTATTGTGGTTAGAGTTCTTAATATGGAAATAGACAGTGCTGTTTGTTGTACTTTTGTCCATTGTGGTTATTGTGGTTAGAGTTCTTAATATGGAAATAGACAGTGCTGTTTGTTGTACTTTTGTCCATTGTGGTTATTGTAGTTAGAGTTCTTAATATGGAAATAGACAGTGCTGTTTGTTGTACTTTTGTCCATTGTGGTTATTGTGGTTAGTGTTCTTAATATGGAAATAGACAGTGCTGTTTGTTGTACTTTTGTCCATTGTGGTTATTGTAGTTAGAGTTCTTAATATGGAAATAGACAGTGCTGTTTGTTGTACTTTTGTCCATTGTGGTTATTGTGGTTAGAGTTCTTAATATGGAAATAGACAGTGCTGTTTGTTGTACTTTTGTCTATTGTGGTTATTGTGGTTAGAGTTCTTAATATGGAAATAGACATTGCTGTTTGTTGTACTTTTGTCCATTGTGGTTATTGTAGTTAGAGTTCTTAATATGGAAATAGACAGTGCTGTTTGTTGTACTTTTGTCCATTGTGATTATTGTGGTTAGAGTTCTTAATATGGAAATAGACATTGCTGTTTGTTGTACTTTTGTCCATTGTGATTATTGTGGTTAGAGTTCTTAATATGGAAATAGACAGTGCTGTTTGTTGTACTTTTGTCCATTGTGGTTATTGTAGTTAGAGTTCTTAATATGGAAATAGACAGTGCTGTTTATTGTACTTTTGTCCATTGTGATTATTGTAGTTAGAGTTCTTAATATGGAAATAGACTGTGCTCTTTATTGTACTTTTGTCCATTGTGATTATTGTAGTTTGAGTTCTTAATATGGAAATAGACAGTGCTGTTTGTTGTACTTTTGTCCATTGTGGTTATTGTGGTTAGTGTTCTTAATATGGAAATAGACAGTGCTGTTTGTTGTACTTTTGTCCATTGTGGTTATTGTAGTTAGAGTTCTTAATATGGAAATAGACAGTGCTGTTTGTTGTACTCTTGTCCATTGTGGTTATTTCCTCATGTTTCTTGTACAGTAGTAGATTTAAGGATAGGCTTGTGATTGGGTTCCATATCAAAGAGAAACAGAATACATGAAAATCAGGCCATTCGGGCAAAAGTGGAATAAAGAGTAAAGTCTATTGATCCGACTTGTTTTCGTTAATGTTCATTTGGAGTTGACAATTTCCCTAAAATTTCTAGGAAAAAAGAAGCTGGAGAAAAGAAGTAAGTATCGTGCGTTGTTTTAAATTGTCACATTCAAGTTTCAAGTTCATTTCTCCACTTATTCTCGGTTGCGCTCAGCCCCTTCATCCGTATACTGTTAGGGATGTGCTGGATCCGGATAATGTCATCCAAAAAAATAGACATTGTGTATGTCTTCAGTAGCTTTCTTGTGTTCAGTAGCTTTCTTGTATATGTCCTCAGTAGCTTTCTTGTGTATGTCTTCAGTAGCTTTCTTGTATATGTCTTCAGTAGCTTTCTTGTATATGTCCTCAGTAGCTTTCTTGTGTATGTCTTCAGTAGCTTTCTTGTATATGTCTTCAGTAGCTTTCTTGTATATGTCCTCAGTAGCTTTCTTGTGTATGTCCTCAGTATCTTTCTTGTATATGTCTTCAGTATCTTTCTTGTATATGTCTTCAGTATCTTTCTTGTGTATGTCTTCAGTAGCTTTCTTGTGTATGTCTTCAGTAGCTTTCTTGTGTATGTCCTCAGTATCTTTCTTGTATATGTCTTCAGTATCTTTCTTGTGTATGTCTTCAGTAGCTTTCTTGTGTTCAGTAGCTTTCTTGTGTGTGTCTTCAGTAGCTTTCTTGTGTATGTCTTCAGTAGCTTTCTTGTATATGTCTTCAGTATCTTTCTTGTGTATGTCTTCAGTATCTTTCTTGTGTATGTCTTCAGTAGCTTTCTTGTGTATGTCTTCAGTATCTTTCTTGTGTATGTCTTCAGTAGCTTTCTTGTATATGTCTTCAGTATCTTTCTTGTGTATGTCTTCAGTATCTTTCTTGTATATGTCTTCAGTATCTTTCTTGTGTATGTCTTCAGTATCTTTCTTGTGTATGTCTTCAGTAGCTTTCTTGTATATGTCTTCAGTAGCTTTCTTGTATATGTCTTCAGTAGCTTTCTTGTGTATGTCTTCAGTAGCTTTCTTGTGTATGTCTTCAGTAGCTTTCTTGTGTATGTCTTCAGTAGCTTTCTTGTATATGTCCTCAGTAGCTTTCTTGTGTATGTCTTCAGTATCTTTCTTGTGTATGTCTTCAGTAGCTTTCTTGTATATGTCTTCAGTAGCTTTCTTGTATATGTCCTCAGTAGCTTTCTTGTATATGTCTTCAGTATCTTTCTTGTATATGTCCTCAGTAGCTTTCTTGTGTATGTCTTCAGTAGCTTTCTTGTGTATGTCTTCAGTATCTTTCTTGTGTATGTCTTCAGTAGCTTTCTTGTGTATGTCCTCAGTATCTTTCTTGTGTATGTCTTCAGTATCTTTCTTGTATATGTCTTCAGTAGCTTTCTTGTATATGTCTTCAGTAGCTTTCTTGTATATGTCCTCAGTATCTTTCTTGTGTATGTCTTCAGTAGCTTTCTTGTGTATGTCCTCAGTATCTTTCTTGTGTATGTCCTCAGTAGCTTTCTTGTGTATGTCTTCAGTAGCTTTCTTGTATATGTCTTCAGTAGCTTTCTTGTATATGTCCTCAGTAGCTTTCTTGTGTATGTCTTCAGTAGCTTTCTTGTGTATGTCTTCAGTAGCTTTCTTGTATATGTCTTCAGTATCTTTCTTGTATATGTCTTCAGTATCTTTCTTGTATATGTCCTCAGTATCTTTCTTGTATATGTCTTCAGTAGCTTTCTTGTATATGTCTTCAGTAGCTTTCTTGTATATGTCTTCAGTAGCTTTCTTGTATATGTCTTCCATAGCTTTCTTGTATATGTCTTCAGTATCTTTCTTGTGTATGTCCTCAGTAGCTTTCTTGTGTATGTCTTCAGTAGCTTTCTTGTGTATGTCTTCAGTAGCTTTCTTGTATATGTCTTCAGTATCTTTCTTGTGTATGTCTTCAGTAGCTTTCTTGTGTATGTCTTCAGTATCTTTCTTGTGTATGTCTTCAGTAGCTTTCTTGTGTATGTCTTCAGTAGCTTTCTTGTGTAGGTTCTTGTGTATGTCTTCAGTAGCTTACGTCATGTGTGTAGAGCGCGACGTCCTGCACAACGAAAGAAGAAACAAGTGGATCCTGATGCACATTTATCAGCGAAACAACGTCGTAAGATCAAGTCTAAAGCCATCATCTCTTCATCTGATGAAGATTCCGATTCCGATGTCGATAAATTAAAAATATCTGAAGATATTGAACGGTAAGAAATATTTAGTTTTCCATCAAGTTATACGCTAATGCTGATACCATTTTTACCCAGTAAGAAATGCCCGAACTGAAAGCCCCAAAATATCAAGATATTAAATTTGAATGCAAGACAATCTCTCCACTGAGAAAGAAAAACAGTAAAGATATCTTTTCAATGATAGATTTGATAAGGAAATTTGTTACTTAGGCTAAGAGGTTCGTTCCTCTGGCCATTACACAGGGAGCAGCGGAGTCGAGTTTATATACTAAAACAAGACAAACACCGTCTTACCTTGTTAATTGTAATATATTTCATTGTAGAATCCCAATGTGTGCATTAAAAATTCATATTTTTTCATCAAAATTATGGGATACAAACCAAACTATTTACCAAAATATAAATTTCAATATTAATATACTCCGCTGCCTTGAATTACCGTCGACTCGTATTTTCCGAAATGCTAACGAACACTGACCGAGAGAGCAACGAATAAGAAACGAAGAAAGGGAGTAAACATTGCAGATCTTTCGTCGCATGTGCACCACAACACCCTATGATGGAAGTGAATAAAACCTGAAGACGGCCATTGACCAATGACGAAGTAGAACTTCATTTGACAATTGTAATTAGTATTCGAAAAATTTAAATCAATCATGCATCAACACGAAACAATACGACACTTCCGTCATAGGGTGTTGCAGTGCACATCGTACGAAAATAATCGATGAATATCGGTCGTCAAATATGTAGGTTAAACGACCGTTTATTGAAATTTATTTCCTGGCGTAGTAAGAATAGATAATTTCTAGATTGTATACAAAAAATTATGTTTTTTTATAAAATATTAAGGAAGTTATAGCCATCCTAAAATGTCACCCCAATGACTGTTTACTCCCTTTCTTCGTTTCCTATTGTTAGTCTAATTTAAGCGAAATGTGAGTCCACAATAATCTACAACAGCGGAGTATATTCATTTGGTGTCATTACATGAAGTGCGAATATACAATCATACAATGTTTATATGGTTTTACGACAATTTCAACAGACTATAAATTATAAAATATGCATTTTCAATGCATACATTGGGTTCTACAATGAAATATATTACAATTAACAAGGTAAGACGGAGTTTGTCTTGTTTTACAAGATAAACTCGACTCCTCTGCTCCCTGTGCCCATTCCTGCATAATGTATTAACTCTAATACTTTATGCTGCATAATTTGACAGGATCACTCACGTAAATGATGTTTTATTTAGTGATGAGAAGTCTGGTAATGAGAGCGAGAAAGAAGCTTCAGCTGAGGAAAGTGCTCAAAGTAGTGCAGGTTGGTTCACTTCTTTCTCGAAATCTTCACTGTCAAGGGACGTATCGTGTGCACGGGCATTTAATCGTTGTAGTGAAATGTTCCACAATGAAACGTAGCATCCCATATTTCTTCTGTGACAATAGCATAAATTATGGAGATTGGAAAGACAAGTTTGTGTGCAGAGCTTGAAATGTCCTCTCTGTAGCAATGCGTGACTGACAACATTCATCAACTCTCGTTTGACTGGGGCTGTATATACTACTTGATAATGACGTGTGTGGTAACGTCCAATCGTCGTCGGTTTTTCAAAATTGTTTAAATTTTGAATAGTTCTTGAAATGATTAATTTAATTAAAGAAATATTTTAGTGCAGCATTTTATCGTGGAATATAAGAAAACCACTTATAAGACAAGCTACGTTTTCCACAATTTTCTTTGTTTTATAACAGAAGAACAGAATGATTCAGATGATGAGAAAAAAAGGGATGAGGATGACGAATCCGGAGATGAAAAAGAGAAGAGCAATGACGAATCTGGGGACGAGAAAGAAACTGTTGAGAAGAGTGATCAGGAATCAGGAGATGAAAAGGAAAATGCTGAAAAAAGTGACGAAGAGTCTGGGGATGAGAAGGAAAGTGTTGAGAAAAGTGATCAGGAATCAGAAGATGAAAAAGTTGAGAAGAGTGACCAGGACTCAGACAATGAGGAAACAAAGGAACATGAATCGGATGATGAAAAAGACGAAACTAAGGAAGAAAATGAAGAATCAGAAAAAGATGAATCAGACGGTGAGAGAATGGAGGCAGAAAGTGGTGATGAATCAGGTGATGAGAAAGAAGATAAACACGAAAGTGGCTCAGAAGAAGAGACTTCAGGCAACAGGAAAAGAGAATTATCCAGTGATAATGAAAATAATGAAGAAGAAGGTGAAACACCAAAGAAAAAATCAAAACAACTTGCAAGTTCGTAAGTAAAATATTCATTATTATAGACCAATGAAGTTTATAGTATTTTTTAAGACCTCAATTTGTGCCCAAAGAATTCGAACAGAGTTTAGAACAGCGACGGTGGGGCCGGTAGTACGAAAGCCAGCTATCCACCGGAGAGTGATTTTTTCAACCTTGGTAAAAATGCCCAAAAAGCTGGGAAACTACAGATATGGACCTCGCAATAAATATAAAAAACTCTTTAATTTATAATTAATAACGGTAATCTTGGTTATACTACTTTCGTCTTTTAGAAAGCTTGAATCTAATATGCATGCGCCTTTTTCTCAAAACGAAGAACATGAACAATCTTTTTTGAAACTCTGCTGGCATTCCTTTTAGATCTGAATCAGATGAGGAATAACCAGAATATGAGGATGAAAAGAAACAACATGCGACTGAAGAGGTTTCAAACTCAATTTTTCTTAAGAATGTAACATAAACTTTGTAAATATTCTAACAATAGTGCGACGTAAGTTTAGCCTCCTCCGCAGGTAACTACGTAATACTTCATAGAAATAATGGGGGGTAACAGGGTATCACGAGGGGTAGCATTACTACCACGCCTCACTTGTCACCCCTCTGTTTTCCACCGAGTTGCCTGCGGAGGAGACTACCATGTGTCGGTCGTATTCCATCACGACATAGTAAACGTAGTGTGTGGATCAATACATATCAAGGTTACATTAAACATGTCTAACAAACATTCTCCATTTCATCGCTGATTTAATCCTTCACTATCATTAAACATTAGGAACACTTCATACGTTAACTTTTTAAACCGAAATTTGTTTTAACACTCTCTTAAAATCATTTTCAGTTGTTTTATTTGATTAAAAAGTTAAAATTTTCCTCATGAAAAGAGAACGATATCATAAAATTTATAGTAAAGGCAAACGCAGAATTCAATAAAATAGTTAGTGAATGAAGTTCATACAATACCCAAATGTTATTGACATGCTGAATAATGCTAGATATGATGGCAAAACAGAAGTAGGTTTTGCTTTGCCGCAATTTAATGGTCCCGGGCCGGTTGTATAAAACGTTTTTAACTTTTTAGTTAAAGTTAACCACAGTTAGTGCGAAAGTTAATCAATCAAAATCGCGTATCTCATGGTTAACTACTATTTAACTACAAAATAGAGGTTGAAAGGTAGTTAAGAGTTTTATACAACCGACCCTGCCGTTTCTCTTCACAAGCTGGATTGAGAATGAACAAAATACAGTTGAACAGCATGGTAATTAAAATCATTGGTAATAAAATTTTCATTTGAAAATATGAATTCTCTACATATTATTTTTACCACTAAATATGCCATTATTTTCTGCTCATTGAAAATGGTTTGCTTCCAAGTGGTTCAACAGTCTATTGTATTGAACATGTAGCAACGTTGTCAACTCCAACGTCAAAATACTCGTATCCGATTCCTTGAAGTTCTTGTTAGATCGTCATTCAATGTTAACAGTATCTAAACGAGAACAAACAAGGTTTGTATGAGATTGAGCTCGCCTTGACACTCAACGTAGTTAATGCTTGTTTACCACCATATCTCACCCATAGAGATTATAAATAACACTAGAGGAGGCATTGTAATCTTAATTCAGTTAAAAAAGGGAACGCAGCTATTGGGGGGGGGGGGGGGG